TTCAGCATTACCCTTGTTATTTTAGTATTTTTTATTTTTCTCTTTTGCAACCTTTCGCGCCATGTTGTAGATGAATTAATTGTACAACCGGTAGCAGATCTGTGCGAAATGTCTCCTCCTCCCGTTCTAGCCGTAAGCAGATAAGGACACTTCATCAATTACCTACATATGTTCATGTGCATATGCTCGCATTGTGTACACATAAACATATGCTCAAGTGGACACCCTGTTAGTAAATTGCGCCTGTATATGTATGTAGACTTGTGAGTACAAATATTTGCTTGCTTTTTTTTTTTTTTTTTCCCGTCATGTCCCTTTTTACGTGCGTCCACCCGGGTTTGCACCACGCAAGTATATTTTAATTTATTACTTAACTCGAGTAGCTATATATATTTTTTTTTCCGCTTGCAACTCAAGAGCGTCTCCAAGGACGCTTTTGAAGGAATTCACGGAAGTTCCTGTCCCGCACTTCCGTTTGTTTAATTGTTTGTTTACCTCCCAGTTGTATGCAACCCCCGTTTTTTACCCTCATCCGTGCCCTGCGTGCGTGCGCATAACCGGGCTAATCGATAACGACCTTCTCATTATGTACAAGAAATACAAAGAGGGGGAGACCTTTTCCCGCAGCCGAGTTTTTTTCCCCCGTGTATATGTGTGCCACATGGAGTAACCGATGTCGCGTCGCACTCGTACACACGTAGATGCCGCGACGCTCCAGGTGATAATTTACCCGCACATACGTTATACAAATGTACCCTGAACATGGCGTAAACCTATTGCCCGTACACTGCTTCCCCATTAACCCAGTGCATTAAAAAAAAAAAAAAAAAAAGTGGGATAGAACAAATCTGTTATATTTCAACGCCGTGTAGCTGTTTAATGCCAAAAATTCCTACCGCTGATAAATGTGTAACCAGTACTACCCCCCTCCCCGATGTACAATTTCAAACCCGTAATTTGTCCCATTTTTCGCCTTCTGCTCATAAGCCGCTCTGATGCTGCTGCATCATGTCCCCACAGGAGCAGCATAGCGTTCCATCGATGGTTCCCCTTTTGGCTTTTAATTTCTTCATACTAGCATAGACTGTACATGTATTATAAAAAGAAGGCACGCTGTCCTCTGCGTGTCTTCCTCCCCTAAGTGGGACTGCTTTGAGCAGTTAAGGAACACCTAAAAGGTGAATGCAATAATCTCCGCGGCTTCCAACACTGGAGTCCCCACTCCGTATTACCGACTTCGTATTTTCTTTACACTGTCCCGCCGTAAATTCCTATTGTCCCGTACAAACCCTGCGCTTAATTCCATTAGTTACATACCACATGGGGCACCCCCCTTTACACACTTTCATCATGATGCCAAAGTAGCCACAAGGCGTAGTGTCCCTATGTATCCCCTTATTACGCCACCATTACCATATTTTTCTTAAGAACGAATATACCCTTTGTCGATTGTCTGCATATGTGCGTGGCCATACTACCAAACCCATATGCTAAATATATTCACTGAATGTATGCACCAGTGGGGATTTCCACTTGCCCATTTTTTGTACATAAGTTGTGAGCAAGACGCTGTAACTGTCCGGAAGAGGCTTGATCCTTCTCTGTGGGACACCTCCTCAAACGTTACATATTTGAAAAAAAAAAAAAAAATTAGAAAAAGGGACACCATTTGTGTGTGCATTATGGTGAGTCACCACCGCCCCATACAACACCGAGTAGTTTTCTATTAAAAAAAAAATTTCAAGTGCAAGTGATGCTTTAAAATATTCCATTGTTCACCTCTTTTTCTATTTTTTTTTTAAATCCTCTGCGTGATTTCCTCGATCCATTGAGTGATCACCCATTTTAATTGTTCAGCTCATAAGTACCAACTGGGGGTAGATTGTCTTTCGCCTCCTTCTATCAGATACGTGAAGAGAAAGGCAACAAAAAAAGAAATTTTTGCACATGACTAAGCATGTTTGTGTGCAGAACAAGGGGGATCCTACAGAGGCAGACACATTTGTGAGCATGTGTAGATATCAAAATTTGACTCTTCATATTTCCACATGTGTACTTACCCCTCCATTAGAATCAATCTTCTGTACCATCGAATTAACCCGAATGTCCTTCCACGATAATAGCCCAATGTGGTGTTAGAAGACACCTTCTGCATCTCCCCACAATGACCCTTTCTACTTTATATTTATTTGTGTATATTACTTTGTCTTCTACCGTGTCCCCTTCTCGTGAGTGCGTCTATGAGTGAGCACATCTATGACTGCATAAATTGATTCATTTTAATTGCTACACAAATATAACCCCATTTGTGCACTCGCAAGGATTGTTTTTTTCCTCTTCTCTTATATTACTACCTTTACATGTTCCATGTGTGGATGTATACTTATCTCGAGAACATCACCACATATATGTACAGAAACGTATGTTTCCTTCTCCCATTTGTTGTATCAAAACAACTGCTGTATAGAAAAAGCAGCTGATAACAAATATATACTATACCTCATTGTATCCGTCGTGTAATTTAAAAATTTTTTTTTGGAGCCGTTTCGCCATACTTATACCTGCAAGAACATATCTACACAACAGAACGTGAGGGTAAGCTGTTGAAACGATAACCGTTCTTCCGCTTGATTTCATGTGAGCTTTTTTTTTTTTTTTACGCTGCTTGTTTGGTGGTGAAGCTGTGGGACTGTTCAGGCGGTGGAGCCCAACTGGATGGTCAGTGTATCTCCCACGTGAATTCGTGCCACTGCTTCACCACCATTTGTTCTTTTGTGAGAATTTTATATAAATATGTGTGCATGACTTCCTTCATATCCGACATGAACACTTGGGATAAGCGATCCCTGGAGTGGTCATCACAAGACAGAGAGAGCACTTCAAGAAGGGGCAGCAACGTTGCCCACCATTTGGAAGAAGCCCACCGATCTATTCGTACATACTTATTTGCATAAACATAGACCTACAACACTACATGTTTTCATATTACCGATAGAGTACATCCGTGTTGACGCACAGCGTGATGCGAAGCTGCCCTTTTTCCCTTTCCGGACCGGTACAGGCATGTACTGATAGTGGTGTCCACACGGGCACAGATAGCCACGATTATTTTTGTACACACATTTATGTGAACATACAAGATGGAAAACAGCATGAAGGATTTTTTAAACGCAAAGGGAAATATTACTCAAAATGGGGTTCCCAGCATGGAGCTAAGTAGATCCCCCAATAATGCTGCGCCAAGCATCACGCAGGAACAATTTAACATAATCATGTGCAGCATCAAAAGGAAAGACAAAAACGACCAAGCGCAAACTTCACCACAGATGGAGACCCAACACAACGTAGAAAATTTTTACCCACTCGACAACGAATATGGCATGTGCAACAACCACAAGGAAATGAATTACTTAGAAAATCAAATTGTAACATGTACGGATACCCCGGAAAAGACATATGTCCCCATATATTTGCAGACAGACCTAAAGGGAACCCAACTGCATGCAGCGCAAAATAATGTGATGCATCACTTGCAGGAATTACTTCCACCCACTCCCCTGCACATGGATATAAAAATGAAACAGTTAAGTAAAAAAAGTGACCACTGCTACTGCAGTGTCGGAGATGATGTGGGGGTACATTCTATATCCGATCAGGGCCACCATTTAATCATGCACGGAAGGAACAAAGCTCAGTTCATCTCCCTTCTCGAAGACGTGCAAGAAATTAAGAACCCTCAAATGGATGATGTACAAAGTTGTGTCGGCCACAGTAGCACAAATTATAGTGCAGCTCAACTTGAAGATTTGCACAAAACCCTTACACGTAGCCATTGTAGTAACCAAATGGACAGAGGTCCAAAGGAGGAAGTGCGTTGTGGAGGGGTAAATGGAGACCTAATTCCATCGCTCCGCTCCTTTATAGCGGACGGAGCGCCTAAGATTGACCACGTGATAAGTCACAGGAAGGGGGAAATTAGCATGGGCAGCAGCGTAGAACACACCTGTTGCACCGATGCACACGCAGAGGAATCAAAGACAAACAGCATTGGACGTAACCCACCCAGCCGACTATTGAACCACCCAAGAAACAAGGCAAACGATTATGACACCTCACACAGAGAACTAAATTTGCTACATGAAATAAAACAAGAGGTGCTAAACGAGGGGACGATGCCCGCTGATGAACTTTCAAGCAACATACACTTGGCCCCTCCACAAGGCCACTACAAAAATAAGGACCTGCTCCTAGATATGCAAAATGTTTGTAATTTAAATGACAGAACCGCCATGTATAGATGCGACTCTCGAGTGAGTAACCAGCCGAGCAACGAAGAAAGACACATGGACCATAATTATAAGAATGTGTTTACTGGACAGGAGGAAAACATCTTTGGCAGATATTCTAACTGCAATCTGGTTAGAAACGAAAATGTGCTCATCTACGGTGATGGAGTTGAGGGGGGCGGCGAAATGGGCCCAACACACCAGAGGAATCTCCCAAACGAAGTAATGAAAGCGAACCACCTATCACTCCGAGAAAATAATTTGCCACCCCTACAAAATAAACTACGAACCAGCAAGGAGAGCTACGACCCAGGGGGAGAAGACATGCCCAGCCAAAAAATTACAAATTGTGCCATCAACCAAAGTTTCAACAAAATGCTTCATTTCAACAACCCAGGAAAACAAATTAATGTACAGAATTCTATAAACCTATTAGACGACTACATAAGAAAAACGAAAATAAACAAGATGCTGCTGTCTAGTATGGAAAGCTTCTCACCAGCAACAATTCAAGACGAACTTAACCAGGGGTATGTGAACCCTAATTGGAACGAACAACCATTTTCACACGACATGAATGAAGTGAATAAATCGAATCACATCAACAGAGTAGACATGGAGGAGGTGCCAAGACATGTCCACACTAATGAATGCCCATTGGTGGACAAGGGGACAAATGTACCTCATGACATTTTGGTCAGTTTTGCCAATGACATGTACAGAGATTTACACAACCGTATAAACGACTCGGAAGGAGAAAAATGCATAGGAAGATTAAATGTGAATACTGTAGGGATGGGAAACTGTGCAGGTCATATCGTTCACGGAGGCCAGACTTATGGTAACAAATTTGAATTTTACGGAAACCCTAATGGGGCCACGAAGGGGAACAGTTTAACAGAGGGTAGTTGTGCAGTAACTGCAGACACAAACTTTAAGCCCTACTGCAAAGAGGAAGACCACCTACTGACCAACATAGATCTGAGAAATGAAAAACAAAATAACTCAATCGTAAGCACAGTGGATGATAAGTCCAAATGGCTAGTCAGCCTGTACAGAAGAATGAACAATATTAACCTAGGAAACTCCCTCATGCTTAAAGAACACGTAATGAGTACAAGTAGGCTCATCAATCCACACGACAACACGGACCTGATTAGTGGTGGTATATCTTGTATCCATTCGGAGGAAGGTGGGGGGATGCTTCTAGACGAGTGTAACAGAATTGGAACCTTCTCCCCTGAGGGGTACTTCATTGACACTACGCAGAAGAGGAGAGGTATCTCCAACATCGTAAGGGAGGGAAACAACTATGTCCCCTCTAACCCAGCCAATTTTCTTCTCAATTATGCAAACAAAGGTAAAGAGGGAATAGCACCCCTATCATCCCTCATGCTACACCAAAATAAACAGCACAGTATATGCCATAGTGTGCAGCTAAACCGGGCTGAAGAACATCACACGAGATGTACTTCCAACGCTCCTCCTCACCACCACAATCACAGAGGTGGAAACGAGGACCTAGACATTTTGACGAACAATCCTTTCAGCTACGAAATTGGAAGAATGGAGAAAAAGGCTCTTCCGCTTAATGCACCGATGTGCAATACGGATGACTCCAATGAGGTGAAGCTTCTGAACCCAATTAAGAAAATCATTCATCCGCTCAGACAGTTCCAATTTGACCACCATGGAGGGGCATGCAATGCGACCATTTGGGGGGACCTCGTGGGTCTTGCAAGAGGTGAAGTGGATGTAGCATTGGACTTGCCAATTGGTAACATTACAGGAGGAGGCGCCGACACAAGTAACGGTAGAAACGACAACCATGACCATGACTGCTATGTTGAAGGGTACACCAGTGGCTACCCCCAACGCTACCCCGACATACGGAGCACAACCATGGGAGACATCCCCCCAGGAAGCAAGCTGGGTATAATAATACAAAACATACGATACTACAGCAACAAGGTATTCAATGATGTATTCATGAATAACGACTCTTTAAAAAAAAAAAAACTTACCGAACTGAATCTGTATTTAGCCAAATTAAGATTAAAAAACTATCAGGACTTTTTTTTTAATTTAAATAAATTTTACGAAATGTTTCTCCTTCTATTGAATTCAAATTATGTGCATAAATTTAACTCCTCCATTTTATATAGCATTTGTGTAGTTGCAAAAAACCTCCTGGTCTTACGCCACCTCGGTGTGTACATTCTGCACGTAATCAAGACGTGTCTGTACTGTGTTGTGAAATTAATTTTGATCAAGCCCATTTCAATTTCAGACAAGGCGTGGTTCTTCCTCCTTAATTTGTACAAATCCCTCTTCGAAAAATTATACCAGTACTTCAAGAGCGATCTACTCATTGGTGAATGCGAAAAGGATCAGCGCGATTTGAACTCCTACGATGAAAACGCCTTGGCAATCCTCCTGCCCTTTATACATGCCTTCAACGAAACGATTTTGGAATATGCCAAAATTAGAATCATTTCGAGGAACAAAAAGAAGGAGGAACTCATTGCCTTCCCCCTATACGAATCCCTCAAGCCGTTTTTCTTTGTCAACACGAATTACCCAGATGAGGCGGACGGACTAGGGGACAGAACGGCGGCCGACATAACAGAGGTGGAGGATGTGCCTCTGGAGGAAGCTCAGGAAGGGCCAGGCTACACCGCACGCAGCAGACAAGTTGGAGATGGAAAGGCCCAGGCTACAAATGCGGCGTGTACAGAATGTCAGGAAAATACCGCAGATACGGGAAATACGGGAAATCTGGAAGAGGCCAAACGAACTACTAACCAAGCGCCTAGCGAAACGACGGACGAAACGACGGAAGAAGCGAGTGACGACGCGAATGAGCGGACCGCCTCGCTGAAGAAGACATCGTTCCGTGCCGCACCCTTTGTCAAAAGGAAAAACAGCGAAGACATCCCCGTTCAGAAGCACACCTACGGATACGCCAAAAATGCAACCCAGCTGGGCCCCATAAACCGAATGAGGGATGTGGACTCCCTCTCCTCTGAGCAGCAAAGCGGGAAAGTAGACTCCCAGGTCAAATTTTACTCCAAAAAAAAAGCAGAAGAAGAGGAGTTAGCCGTATCCATACGAAATAATATCCTCTGTTGTGTACATGCACTAATCAAAATGTTTTCGCACATCTACATAAACAACTGGGACAAAATCCTGTACTACTACAATGAAAACAGGAAAAAATGGATCCCGATCTTTCTGACCCTCACGATGAATGACCAGAATCAGAAGATTCGAACGAATTCCATTTTGTGTCTCAAGTACCTCTTTGACTGCAAACAACTCAAGTACTGGTTTTTGCTCAAGGAGGGGAACTACGGCAACGTCCCGCTTGGCAGCCATGTTAGCGGCCACATGAGCGGACACGTCACCTTCCCCCAGAGCTATTCCACCGGCAGAACCAGCTCACACGAAGCCACCTCCCACACGGAATGCCCATATCAGCAAACGAATAACCTCACGAAGGAAATTTCAAACGAAAATCCAACCAAAAAAATTATACAACTGAACAGGCAGAATCAAAACGTGCAAGTAAAGGGAGACGACAAGTACCTCCCGCCCAGGAATAACACCGTTGCAAAAAACTCCTACAGTAGAGGTTATACCAGTCTGTCTTCCCCAGACAAACAGACCAAACAGAATATCTACATGGGGAAGGAGCACCATCCAATTCATTTCTTTAGCGATATGAATAACAGCCTTAAGAGAGAAGCAGAAATTGGAACAAATGGACGATCACCTCTGGGAAGCTTCCAACGGGATAATCAAATGCAAACATATGGACAAGTGAAAAATGATAACCCTGTTGGTAGAAACTCCAACTGTGGAATTCTCACCCCCAAGCAAGATCACCGTTATGAAAGCTACGCGAAGGAAGAGTCCAACGATAAGGGGAACTACTCTAGTGCAAAAAAAGCCGCCACTGAACAGAACATTGTTAAGCTACTCACAAAATTTACAAAACTTATAACCAGAACATACGTGGTAGATAGGGAAAATAATTTTTACACCCCCACGGACAGACTAAACATTTGCAGATTCTTCTTAAGAGTTTCCCAATCGATATTAATACCAAAGTATAAAAATTTGCTAAGAAAAATTTTAAAGTTTTTTTTTTTCTACTTATTAAAGTACCTCATATATTTTAACCATGGTGATGCTTTTCATTTCTGCATTAAGAAACTACTCCAGAAGGATGGTACCTCTAAAAGGAATCGACAACCAGAAAAGAAAATCCCTTATGGTTACTCCCTCCTTCCATACATCTCACAGTTTGCAGAGAGGGAAAGGGATGAAAGTCATTTTAGCAGTGCAAATGTGGTGTTCAGACACACAAACAGTAATGTGTACCTGAGCAGCCATAGAAGCGAAATGCTCCGCATGAAGCAAATGAGTGATAACGACTTCTACCCCCATGATTACCTCGACGAGGATGAGCGCGTTTTTAGCTCCCTTAGTAATTACCTGAACAACTTTAGGGACACGGAGGAGCATGAAGAAAGTGACGTGCAGGGGGTGGAGCAGCCACTCGATCAGAGGAACGAGCGATCGGGGGGAGCGTTTCCAAAAGGAGTTGAAGGAGACGACCCAAACAGCACCGGAAAAGACCTCCCAATCCAACAACATCGCATGATCCACCTAAGTCTAGCCGATCAAGATAAGAGCGCCACAGAGGGGGAGGTGGACAAAAAAACGAAACAAAAAAATAAAGCAGATATGAAAAAAGGAAAAAAGGAAAAAGAACACACAGACAGTAATAACGAGGAAGGAGAGGTGGCCACTCCAAATCATAGCAACAAATATATCATGCGGAATGACAAAAGTACGCAGAGTATATTTGAGGAGATGCACCAATTGCCCCCATCCCGCGTGCATTCCAATGGCATGGATCAAATGGTAGCTCATGAAAAATCCCTCAATGATAGAACAGACATGGCTCCGAGAACAGATGCACTGCAACTGAAAAATCCCACAAAAAGAAAAAAGAAAAAAAAAAGAAAAGAAGAAAGGAAGGATGATGAGGAACATGTAGAGGCAGACTCACAAGAAGAGGAATCCACGAGAAGAAGCATATGTTCATGCAAACATACAAACATAATCGATACGACCAAAAACATAAAAAAGGTCAGAAAAAAAAGAAGCGACAACGATTTATCATACCTGTACAAACACATAGACCAAATAAATAAGAAACTTCTATCGAGGGAAGATTACGATTTGCTAATCAGCATTCTCTACTGCAATGAGTATTCCAGGGGCTCCAAATATATAACAATGATAACAGTTATTATTAACATATTTTCCGTCCTACTGTGCAATTATAATGATGAAATCTTCCGCTTCCTCTGCACAAACATATACGGAGTGAATATCAACGGAACCCTAAATGATCACAACATTTACTGCTACCACGCTTCGCATAATCAGCTGTACGACATCTCCTTTGCACAGTTAATATACTTCATGTTGATATTTTTGTATAAGATTTTTTATCAGCCCTGTGCAGATGGCATAGACATTTGGATGGAGAGCGGGAACGAACTGCTGGGTGAGAAGCGAAGCGGAGAGGCCACAGTCAGGCGCAAAACCAACCCAGGCGATAAGCCACAAGAATGCCAACAAGGGTGCCACCAACAATGCCAAGAAGAACGCGAAGAAGAAGAAAAAATAAATTTGGACAACAACACCGAGCAGGACTACCCCCTCAGAGGCCATCCCAACAGAGTAGATCCCTCAAACACAAACCTGAGAACCTACCGTTACGAAAAAAAATATATGAACAATTCGTATAAGGACCTCTACGACAATTATATCATTTCCTACATGCAACAGGAACGTAACGATGTGAACCACCTGAATAATCTCCTAAACAAAGGCAATGTAGTACCAAATTTAATACCATATGATATTCAAATCTTTAAGAATATCTTATTAGTCTTTCAGAAGACACTAAAGCATTATTTGTTCTGCTACATGCACTGTTGGAATGACGTTAAAACTTTGCTGGAGTATTTTCTGCAATCGGAAAATGTACACATAAAAATTATTTCCATTAAGATAGTCATTGATATTTTCTGCTTCATCAATTCTTACTACGAGGTTAACTCCACTGAGTACGAACTTCCAATTTATAAAAAAAAAGATGAATATAGCCATGACAACATATTTAATAGTACTGCTTCGAACGGGAGGAAGTGGGACAATTGCGTGGGGGAACACACGTTGTGTGCCCAGTTGGGTGGACGAAAAGAAGAATTACCCCCGTGCGATGAAGTGTTCACGAAGAATAACTCCGACACCGGTGTGTTTAAAACTGGTTTCACACATGGTGTATACAGATCACCCTATGGAAGCGTGCACAGCCGCAGCGAGAGTGGGGGGGGAGCAAGGCGTGTAAGTCCCCACAGGAGTTACTCCAGGGAGGGGTATACCTCCATGGGGAACAACTCCACGAGGGACACCTCAAACCGTTTGGCGAACCCCCCGAGGGGAACACCCCATGGAAGCGCGTCCAAACATGAGCAAGATCACATGCAAAATAGGGCCTCCCCAGAACCAAGCACAAACGGTATACAGGAGCATCCCCACAGCGAGGCAAGCCAAATGAGCAAGAAGAATCAATTCGTGCAACTCGTAGAAAGAGACATGATTGATCTATTCCGGAAGTACATTCTGGTCCACATTCATAACATAAATAAAATACACAACGATATCACAAACAGAAGAAGCAAACTGAAACATATTTTTCTAAACACCATCATATGCATCTCCCATTTAAGCTATACAGGATTTAAAATCCTAACAGTGGAAGACATCCAGCGATTGACAAAACTTGTGTCCTCCTGTGTTCATAGCATTAAGTGTAACATCATTACCGCCCTTAGCAAATATATTATCAAGTACATTTTTACCTTTAATAAAAAATTTATTCAAAATTATGAGAAGAGGATAAATTTACTGCATATAAATTCAACCAATGTCTACTATAATAATATCCTCACCGCGACAGCGGGCGTGTCTAGGGGGGGGTTCCCAGGGGGGGCAGCCGCCACAGATCAGGGCGGCATCAGTTACGCGTCAAAAAATGACATGCAACAAAATGACATGCAAAAAAACATCAAAAGCAACGCCTACAGCGAAACGAACATTCCGAGTGCACCCCTCCCGAGCAACTTAGACACATTTGAGCAAAAATGCAAAAAGAAAATATGTACCAGTATAACCAAACAAGGGGTTACCTGCCCACAGATAAACGGCACCTCTACAAACATGTTCATACATGCAACCCCCACGAACATGAGTTCCGAACAAGTGAATGGAAGGTGCAAGGGATGTCCTGTTCTCGTCGAAGAAGAGGCAAAGGGTACAAATGATGAATACCCTAGTAATGCGTCCGTGCATGATGAGAGTTACACCCGCCACGGATGGCATGATAAAAAAGATGTGCTTGATAATGATGCAAGTGCCCCCAACCAAAGCAACAGTCGTAGAAGCAGCAACAGCAAGACGGACAGGATGAAACGTCAATTGAGGCATGTGGGTTCACACTCAGCATGCACAATGGGAATGGAGAAATCGACAGACCCAATTCAATATGAGCACTCATCGGATGTGACTCCCTACTCAAGTGACACCAACATGTCTGCAAAAATAGGTGTGTTAAACGATATTTCCGAGAAGGAACGAAAACTACAATCGCAGAAGCAGCAGGAGAAGAAATGGACAGAGGACCCCGTACGCTGCATCAGTATAGCGGACTCAACATTTAAATGCTCACGAGGACAACCGATGATGGAAGAACAAACATGCAAAATTATCAACCCAGGGGGGAGCAATGCGGACCAGATGGCCAATAAAAATCCCAGCAAACATACTTACACTAAAGGAGAAGAAGACGACAAGGATAAGGACAGGTTCTCCTCTACGTCCCTATCAAAAATGGCGACGAATACGAGAAATGTCAATAAAGACAAAATGAGCAAATTGTGTGCATTGATGAAGAGGAAGAATAGAATGCAGAATTCAAAGTGGGAGGAATTGAAGAAATGTGAGAACCTCCAAAGCGAGATGAGCAGCCAGGTGAGCGAGACTAACACACATCGTAACAACAAACAGGTTTTACTTCCATCCAATGGTGAAATAGCCAAGTTGAAAAAAAACACCGAACATGTAACTGCGCAAAGTAGAAGAAGGGAAAAATATCTAATCAGTTCCCTCAATGCGTACGAAAACGACCAAGGGGATGAACCCCTATCAAAGGACTCCTCCATGGAGAGTCAAAGGAAAGACGCATACCTACTACAAAAGCAAAGAAGCGAAAGGAAATTGTTCGAGCTCTACTATATATATATCTACATAATCATTCACATCATCAAATTCTATAACGATTCCTTTGTAGACCTAAAGTATTACACATACAACTGTATATGTGAAATCGCTAGCTCCTATGTCCCCTTTTATTTTACTCAAAACAATATTAAGACCTTTTCCTACTACAGCAACTACAACAGTGAAGAAAACAAAGATATTAATAAATTTATCAATTTTATTAACGGCATTCAGTTGTCCGCAGATGTGGATGAGCTCAAGTTATTTCACGTGCGCCAGGAAAGCAGCACATCAAGAGGGGACACTGTTACGGATGAACTGCTCGAATGCAACCACCGCACACATCAGAGTGCAGAGGAGGGTTTTTTTCACAAAGGGGTAACTTGCGCCACATGCAGCAGCAATAACACGACGGCTAGTAGCACCTGCGCAAAGGGAAGAGGTGCGGCGTCCAAAGTTTCTCCATGCAGAGGTGTGTCAAACGACACAGAGAGGAGTATCCCCACCCTGGGCAACCACTCTACAGACATCACTGCCCACAAAGCGGAAAACCTGCATGACCAATTCCAAAACAACATATACCTCATTTCATACATCGAGTACATCTACATACTTCTTCTAATCATCCGGGAAAACAAAAACGTAGAGAAGGACCGAGCCATCTGTTGCATCATTAGGTACGTAGGATTTATATGCAAAAATATAAACTTCTTTTTATTCAATTCGATCAGTTTGCTACCCTCAACATTTCTCCTGAAGTACTTCATGTACCTGAATAATGTGGTCCAGAAGAAGGGGCTGCTCGGGGGAGGACTCTGCAGAGTTGGCAGTAAACGCAGCAAAGTGTCCTCACACGACTCTGACAAGGACGGTGCCAGGGCTAACGAGGAAGATGTGTCCAAGGGGGAAAATGTCTCCCTGTGGAGGGAAGAACTGCACACAAAGATGAAAACGAACCTGAACAACAGGAACAGAAGCGCTAGCAGCAACAGCAGCAGCGATGATCGGCCCTCTCCCTGTGCACACCAAGGTGAGACACCGCACGGGCAACCGTCCAGCGAGGTAACCACCTGCGATGAACAGAAGAGCAAATTGAAAATGACATCAACACACAAGTGCAAACTGTATCACTTGTTCCTAAACGTCTACGTAAAATATGAGTATAATTTTGAAGACCGTTTTTTTTCGTCCAGAGGTGGTGCAGAAAAGTTGGAGGTATCAGACGAGGAGAAGGGAATACCTATTAGGACGGCTAGTTGGAACGAAGATCCTCCCCAACGCAGTGAGCCGAACGAAGGGGGTAGAAGGAAGAAGAAAAAGAAGGAAAACACTTGCCAGGGGGAGAAGCCAGGTCGGGGGCAGAACACTTCCGTGCATGACGCGGGACATGCCCCCCAGGAACCACTAACCCCGGAGCATCTCTTCCAAGGGTACTCCGAAAAGAGAGAGGAAAAAGTGCACACAAACCCCATCGTCATACAAATAAAAGACATCTTCCACTGTAACAGAGGAAAAAGTAACCCAATAAACAAAGCAAGCAACAACGTGGACGCAAAAATTATTCTGTACCTCCTATCCATCGTAAAGGATCACATAAAAAATAAAATCACATGGAATGTCCTCTACGCCTTCAAACTCATATACAACAATTTCTCCTTCTTTTTGACCCACAACTTTGCTGAGCTCCACAGCCAAATCCTAGACCACCTAATAAGTACACTAAGATACACAAATGTATATAAAATAAAAATCCTCTCATCCTTGGCGCTTATCCATATCCCCCTATACTACAACATTAATAAAATTAAGTTGAAAGAATTATGGGATACACTAGTCACTAACATCTCCTACTTAGATTTAATTTTCGTAAGTGATAAGTCCAACACTAATCAGCTAGTGTGCTACTATGACAAGGGATTAAATTACCTCACCATAAGTAAAAAAACGGAATATAAATATAAATGCACCCTTAGAGTGAACATATGTGAACTCTTGTACATGTGTATATACAGATCATACGTTCATGCAAACATAAACGCCGACATTGAATTTCATAATAGGAGAGTCAATTGTTATGAAGCCTTCAAAAATTATACGCACATTTTTAACATTAATAATGACGTTCACATTTATAACTTAACTCATATCTTTAACAACCATGTAACTTACTACTCTTTCTATAATAATGTTGTTGTGACCCCCAAAAAATTATCAAACAGTACCTTCTCCGGAGGGGGTGGGGTTCCCACAAACGGGAGAACCTCATGTGATAGGGGACATTCGATGGAAGTGCGAACAACGTCGGTTGTAAAGCTCAGACAAGACAGGTCACACGTGGTAGGTAAGACAAACCAAGTTGGAGGAACTCTGAAAAAGGAAGAAGTAGAAGAATGCACACACCATGATATATTCGAACTGCAACTATTCCTCAACAACCACTTTGATAAGTATCATTTTGTTTACACCAATTTATTGGGGACCGGGAAAAATCCCATTTTTCAAATCCTCTTCCAGAAGCTGCACTACGAAATTAAGTTGTCCTTAAAGCGCTTTCTAGAGAAGAGGAAGCTCAACAGTTTGGAACACCCCAGGGGGGTCAGCAGCTAAAAGGGAACGCACAGGAACACAAATAAATGGCAACTACAATCAGCGGCTTTTAAAATTTAAATTGTGTAGTTACACACGGAGGGGAAATACAAAACGGGGTCCTCCCCCATTACCCCTTTCCCAGTTCTTTAGCACGTTCCAAGTGGAGTATCCAAAACAAAAAACAAAAAAAAAAAAAAAAGGTGCACGGGGTTGTAGCAGTGCATCCGTATAGCTGCAAGCCCGTGAGACTTAATTACTTTAATTCCTCGCGCAGTTAAGCGCATATATTTTGGGCGCAAGCGCGGAGCGTGTGAGAGTTCGCCTTAGCTCTTCCCCTCCAAAAAAGAGAGTACTGATCACCCTCGCGTCACTCTTTCATCGCTGCGCTTGATGAACAAACTCACGTCGCACGCAAGCAAGTACGACTTTATGCTGAAGTAATTCTCATCGCGAAGAATGTAAAAGTAGCCGTCGTACCCCCAGTGGGTTCCCCAGCTGTTCAAAATTTTCCAATACTTGACGACCTTTCCTGCGTCCTCGCCCTCCTTTTCACTAGCATAATCGTCCAGATGATCTGAATAATGGTGAATTTTTTTTTTTTTTTTTTTCAAATTTTCAACCGTGTCTTCTCCCCACCCAACTATCACTACAGCATGGTCGACCTTGTTCCATACATACGCATTGGACTCCCCGCCATCGGACATTTTTATGAACTTCCCCGTTAGTATGCCTTCCGTATATGCGGAAAAATTCTTGGAAGGCTCAATTGCTGCTGCTACGGGACCATTATAATATAGGTACTTTTTTAAATCCTCTTCGTCCTCTATATCCAAATACTCAAACTTTGTCACTTTGACATTCGCGTCGCACTCGTGTAGTGTGAGGACGTCCACCTCCCTGGCATCCCTCGCGGAGGCATCGACTGGGAGGTAGCCCTCGTGTAGCTCCACGTCCGTGGGGAGGTCCCCTCCATGGCCCACATGGGCCGTATGGTCCCCACTGTGTGTATTTTCCCCGTTGTGAAAAGTTTCCCCTAAACCCTGTTCACCTTGGGCAGAGGATTTATCCACTTCTTCACCTAGGACCATTTGCTGAGTCCCCCTGAAAGGGTCGTGCTGCCGCACTCCTTTGCTCTGTGTGTGCGGTGGGCCTACCTGCCCACTTGAATAATTCCACTCCCTTCCTTTCTGCAGAAAAGTCCTAAACATATCAAATCGATCACACAGCGCGCTATTCTTCTTGTCCTTATTTAAATACAAATGGGAGTACCTGACAAAACACTTATTTGTAAACAGAAAATTCTCATACGCATACTTTAGGGACAAATAAATGTAGCCGCCATTACATCCTTGATTGAAAAAGTCACAAAGGACTAGCTGTTTGTTACTAAAGGATAAGCGGTCGATATTTTTTATATAGTTGTATTTAATTCTCACTCTGCTGTTAATAATTAAAGCAGCTGAGTTTGCGTAACAAGACCCGCATTCCTTCTGGTCTATCGCGTCGTCAATAACTTTCACCCAGTTCCCATTAAGTCTCTTCCTCACATCAGCTTCGTTCGTCCAATCAAACTGTGCTAAGGTGACTTCCTGCTCACGATAGGTGTTAAATATGCTATTCTGCTTCACCCCTTTGTGTGATTTGTTTGTATGCTTTGGGCGGGTGACCTTAGATTGGGTAACTGTTTGATTGGTATCTACCTCTTCGTGATCCGCTGGCTGTCTCCCTCCCCCTGCATTGTCACCGCCCCACTGCAACATCAAATTGGCGTAATGCTTGTTGTGCGTTTCTGCGTCCAGCACAAGGGGAGAAATGATATCCACGGGTATCTTGTTCGTAGGCTCATCAGGCGTACCTACCTTCTTCCCATACCAGCAGAACCTGTTCATGGTGATCAAGTCAAGCTGATTATAATTATCATTATAATAGTCTATTGAATGGTTTGAATTTTTTTTTGTACCTTCTTTTGAGCCGAAAAAATGGAAACCTTCTTTAAAAAAGTTAAACCTGTTGGGGGTTAATCCAGTCTTCCCTTTATGGTCCTTGTTGACGAGGAAAACGTGCCCCAATTGCGGATCCTTCTCTTCTCCTACATTATGATCTGGCGAATTGTCTATTTGGGAACTCCCCGAAGAAGAACTTCCTTCACCTCCATTAAGATGATACACATTCACTACCCCCATGATCAACCTGTTGCAGTAACTATAAGATGCGTCGTTCCTTTTTGCAAATTTGAAAAAGGAAAAATAAATTTCTTTCTCTTCATTCTGCTTATACACCTCCATGTACAAACCCTCGTCGTACACGATCCTCCAGAACCCACTGTACTCAGGATTTATATGTCCATTTTCGATTATGTTTATGGTCCTGTCTGTGTTAAATAGAATAATTTTTTTCTCTCTCTCCTCGAAACGTTTCTTCAGGTGATCAGGGTCCAGTTCCTCTGTGAGGGGAGGAAAAATACACACAAAAAAAAAGAGAGCATATATGTGGGTGCATTAAAAGGGAAAGGGCAGCACCCCCGACGGGCACCGCTCCGAGGTACCACACTTATATCATGTGCACATGCGAACACGCGTACAGATGTGCATGTATATTACACCATGGTAAACGGAATCATCCGGACGGCGGTAGCCACACTCATAATCGTAGTCCTGTGCCCCATTCGAAACTCCATTGCTTTCTCCCTTGAGGAGGCCCAAACTGATTTCCCACTTCCCCTCCACATGTCTACTCAAACAGTGAACCGGGATGTCACATTCGGCATAACTCACGAAAGTTAAGAAGAGAAGACAAATTAAAATCATGTCCAGGAGTTCGTCACAGAACGAAGTTTAAGTCCACGCTGGGGGTATAGCGGCGCAGAGTTATTGCCGACTGCGAGTGAACAGAAAAACAAAACTCAAACAAAAAAAAAAAAATAGTGCCCAAACGGAAAATAAAACAACCATTACAGTTACAAAAATCCCGTGAGTAATATTAATACACTATGTGTGAATTGCACTTCTGGTTCCTTCCCCCTGCTGGACTACTGACCACACAGGGGGGAAGAGAAGAAAAAAAAAAAATCAAATCAAAAAAAAAAAAAAAAAAAAGGAAAACATTCCTAACGTGTCTAAATCTAGAAAAATAGGAAGACATCATGTTGCACCATTGCCCCTTCACCAACTGTACCCGTTCATCAAATGACGTTCGCACTGATTGGCGACCCCCCGCAATTGTAACACCAACCTTCTGCCTTCCCGCGCAGTGCACTGAAATGCACCAGTGTTTCACACATCCACCATACCGCTTGCGGACGGGGATATATACACTCTGTGTTTTTATAGAAATGGAAAAAGTTGCATATCTTTGAAAAATGGGAGTTGCAGAAGAGGACAAAATTCACAAGTAAAAAATATACACACTTGGCGATCTTCTTAAAGTTGGACATTTGACAAAAAAAAAATAATAAAATAAAAAATAAAAAAACGGGCGACAGAACTAGTCAAACGAAGGTAGACCCGAAAAATGGGAACGCAGGCCGGCGCTGGCGAACCCACCGACATCCGTGCGCTCTTCCTTTTGCACCACACAAAATTCCCCTCTCTCTTACAAAAAAAAAAAAAAAAAAAAAACTTGAAAAAAAGAGGAAAATGTTGGGGCAACAAAAAAGGGGGTAACCAAATTAGGGCTAAAAACGTTTGGGCGATCAAATTATTCACTCACACATGTATTATATATGTACCACTTGGACACAGAGCAGATTGTCGCTCATGCCCGTCCAGCTGCTACCTTTTGAGGCCTTCCATTTTTGCTTCCTCCTGTCGTATTGCAACATCACTCCATCACATATTCATGCACCTTCCTCAAGAGTAATCGGAACAGGTAATCCAGGATTACTTCTTCGGCCACTTTCCTCGTGAGGCTTAGTTTTTCGTACAGTAATCTGCAGGGGGGGGAGTGAAAAGCGAATGGTTGGAAATGAATGATGGGCATGAAGAGGCGCATGCACCGCTGGATATTCTGCCCCCTCTCGCGCAATAAGGACTTACTTCTTCCTAATGGGAATAAATTTACACAACGTGTCATCCGCCACCGGCATGGGGACATCCACTTGACCCCCCTCATTTCTTAAAACCATGGCTGAAGAAGCGCCTTCACTAGGAATAACAGACTGCACGATCTCCACCTTCTCCAGAAAAGTAAACCTCAAATCGTTGTTCCTACTCATGAGAATCTTTGAAAAATTTTTCGAATCCGAATGATTCATTTTTGTGCTTAAAATATTAGCCAAAACAGAGCGAGAATATATCTTGGCCAAAATATATTCTAAGTTGTTCAGAGACAAATCTGGGGGACCCAAAAAATTATAATTTTCATTTGAAGAATTTCTGAGGAAATTCAACACCTTCAAATTTAGAATGTCTAGGTCTTCAAAAAATAAATTCACATAAGAATACATATCAGCAATTACCTTTTCTTCCTTTATTAACGAAAACAGCGTCTCAATAACAACAGCAAAACTTGAGTAAACAGTTTTTTCGTTTTTCTCATGGGAGTCGAATAAGATGCTTCTAACGGATTCTATAAATATCTTATTGTCCATCACCTCTTCCAAGTTGTCCTTTATTTTTTTGATCGGGTAGAACGTGAAGTACCTGGATACCCGGTCTGTTTCCCATCGAATGCTTCTGCTTTTCAGCATTTCCTCCAGAGAATTGTAGTAGTGGTAAAGGTCCTCCGATTGGTAGAATTTCGTTCCACTCGGCTTGGGAAGTCGGCAGTTCGCGGGGTCGGCCTTTCGATCAACGGTTGGGTTGGTCTTACGATCAACGGGTGGGTTGGTCTTACGATCAACGGGTGGGTCAGCGGGTGCACCAGGTACGGGCGCCTTCCCCCCATTGCAGTCGCCACTCGAACTTTTTGCACACTTCTCACCCTTCCACTTGTCCCCCTTTTCCTGCTGCTCACCCCCCCTTTGACACATGCGAGTCATTACCTTTTCGCGAACGATTAGGTTAAAAACCCTGCTTAGGAAAGTACGAACGTTTGCCTTCAAGACGTTCTTCCCTTCGTTTAACAGCACATTTGCATACCCTTTTATCATTCCATCGTTCTTAGTTCCGTTTGGAACCTCCCCCTTTTTCTCCCCATTTGGGATATTTGCCCACAAAATATCGTCACCAGGTGCAGCATTTTGTCGTTCCTTCTGTCGTTCCCTTTGTTCCTTCGACGGGATGCTTCTTGCTAAGGACTGTCTGTTCCCTTCGTCAGCCACATGTAACAGTTGCCCAATCACTTGCACATAATTAATTTGGTTAATTATACTTCTGAGCAGGTTCGACTCGTTATCCTTAATGGGTGTCTTTGTCTCACTTAGTATGCTCTTTAGTCCCGCCTCTGCATTACCTGATATGCTTCTTTTGGAGTCGCCCTCCTTTTCTTCGTCTTCTTCTTCTTTATGTCGCACAAGATCCTTTCCATCGCTGCCACCTTCCACTGTCTTCTCCCCCATCGAACTTGAAGCAGTTGGCTCCACTGCCCCACCATCTTCCTGCAACATTTCTCCTGTCTCTTGGTCAATAGGCACATCCCTAACATTCGTGGCACGAAAAGAGGGTCGACCGTCCGTGACATGTTCAGAATCATTCCTACCTACCTCCTGCACATCTACAAGCATCATCTCTCCAGTGTCCTGGTCAATAAGTTCAACCTGTTCTCTTGGGACGCCACGTGAAATTTGTTCATGCACACCACGCTCATCATTTCTTCCATCTGCTGAATTACTACTTGGTAGAAAATTGTCACCGTCTTGCGCGCTAAGCATTCTCCATCTTGCTCGTTCGCAAAGATTTCTAACATCCCATTTCTCACATTTCAACATTCCATAGTTGTACAAGTGCCTGAGTGCCAAGGACACCACCAAAAGCAGCACCACCGGAAAGGTCTTCATTTTTGCTGTCACCGTGTGCTTCCCCTTATGCTTGTTCGACGTGGTCTCTTCTGACTCTTCACTCTGTTTTGTCCCCGTATCTATCCTTTTAAGATACACACCACAGGAGTGGAAAAAAAAAATTTCACACGACAGGCTAATCCCAATATGCGTCTTACACACTAGCGCCTACTCGGTAAACTCCCATAAGAAATTCAAAACCAAAATGGAAGAAAAAAAAAAAAAATTACCACTAGGTAGCTGTAGATATTTTACGCTTTGTCCTGCATTGCGATATGGAATTCGAGTAGATGCAAAAAAAAAAAAAAAATTCGTGAAAGTTTAAACAGTAACATGTACACAAAGTAGAGGAAAAGTAGAACAAAATAAAATATATAAAAATATTTATATATTAAAATAAATTGAAAAAATATTTTCTTTCCTGTTTGTCCCCTTTTAACAAGCTACCCAAAAAAAGAAAAAATCGCCAGACACACAACAAACGCAATGCGAAATAGCTCGAAAGGTCGACAACGAAGGCTCAAACGGGAAAGGACAAATTTGGAGAGACGCGTCGCTACGCCTCCAAAATTTTAGTTCGTCCCAGCTGATCAAAATGAGACCGTGTATAGCTCCACATGCCCAACGCATGCAAAAAGAACAAAAATATATATATTGGGGTGCCTCAAAATTTTGGAAGCACAAAATAAACTATCCTTTTTAAAATAAATTGTAGCATCCTCAAAATTGAGCGATTACCAGCGCGCCGCTCACATTTTTCATTTAGCGCATCACCAATTTTGTCTTAAAAAATTGCAGAATTTAACTGCGCGCCAGGAATAGGCTCACGTGTTCTAAAATAAGGGATGGGAGGGATCTACATGCGATGTCGTGATTTGTTCGAAACGTGAAAAGTGGAGGATTGAACAATTAGACAGAAATTGTCACATGCCTGCCCCATTTCTCACCATCCTGTAAGATGAAACTTTCTCCAAATCTAGCACAAATTTTAAGTCGACGTGAAGAAAGCCCACACACACATTAGAGCGCGTCTACCCAGCGCAAAACAAATTTGCACAAGGCGTAACCGTTCAACCAATCCCAACTTTTTATTTTCATCATAAAGGGGAAATTTTTTAAATTTTGTTGTTGTTTTTTCATTGGGGGCAATTAATTTTTAACAAATTAGTACTTTTCAGCATTAAAAAAAAAATAATAATAATAAAATGTATTCACTCGCGTGGATGTGGTGAAAGGTGGGTGCACAGTCACTTGCATGGACATGGTGTAGCCACTACGGGGTCCACCCACTTGATCGTTGAGGTAGTTTGTCCACATTCCGCCGCGTTGACCCCCGCGCCTGGTACAGCCTACTCCTGGAAGGACTTGGCAACAACTTCGCTCTCTCCGCCCTCTACGGCCAACTCGAAGACGTACCCATCATACTCGTGCACGTTAGACCTGCACTTGCACCGAATGGTATAGCTGTGTTGCACAAAGTGGGGCAGCTTTAAGTAAAAAGCGTATTTGCCCTTCCGCCTATTTCCATAGGATATATAACCAGGCATGAGAGTTTGTAAATCGGTTACTTTACCCTCATACAAAACCTTGTCAAAGCAGTTTTGTGGTTCGACAGTGCCGTTGTTATCATATATACACTTGAATCCAACAAATTCCCCAGGCTTGGCCTCAATTCTGCACACCTTACTGCCTCCATGCCTCTCAACAGCGTAGGGATTAGAAAAATAATTCACCATATGGTTGCCAAAATCGCATCCTTTAGTTATTGTATCATTCGTAGAAACAACAACTTTCATGATTCCATATTTTGTAATAATTTTTTCAGCTTTACTCTCATCCACTGGTCCATCCTCGTCTTCCTCCTCATCAATTACGATTTCTTCTTCGTCTTCCTCATATTGAGGTTTATCTTCTTCCTCTTTTTTCTTCTCACGCTCTATTATATTCATAACTTTTTTTACCCTGTGTAATGCTCGAACTAGATTCGCATCTACTTGCTTCTGTGGGATTACCACCTCCATGTCTTCGTCCTCATTTTGCAAATCGTCCACATTGACATTGGTTTTCTTTTTCGCATTTTCCTTTTCCTTAGATAATTTTCTCTGCTTTAGAAACTTCTTCGCGTCCTTCATTTGTAAATTACAGAAGCAGTAGAAGGTCTTGCTTTCCTTCACCGTTGGTGATATGAGGAGGGTGTCTCCATACAAAGTCGATCCGTATAGCAGCTCATCTATTGAGAGCCCTGATGAAGCCATTTTTTCTTTACTTATATCATCTGAGGTGTTTACATTTTGAAAGCACTGTGCTCCTATTTTTTTTGGACAAATAAATGTTACGCTATCGAAAGGTTTGGCGTACACCTCACAGTATTCTTTTTCATTCTTCCCCAGAAGGTACTTCTCCTTGGTGAAATCACAGATGTGTTCTTCTGCGTGTGTGGGGAGCTGCTCCCTCAGCAGGTAAAGCAGCGCAACCAAGAGGAGCTTTTTCATTTTGGGGGGAGAAGATAGCCAAAAATGGGTTAGCAAAAAGTGCACCTTATGGTACTTTTTACGCTGGAGTTGCGATGTGCCAATGGGCAAAAGCGCGCACACTACAAAAGCGTACTGACCAGTGTCTAACAAGGACAGTCAAACGACATTGAGTACCAACGCGTGAGCAATTCTACAACGCGAAGGATTCTTCCCGCAGTTTAACAGATCGAAAAATCCCCCTTTTTTCACTTAGACAAAAATGCACACAGCAATTCTGCTTCTACAGCGACAGAAAAACAGGTGAAAATAATGACAACTCAGTTTTTTAAAAGATGTAAAAAAAGGAAAAAAAATTACACAAATTTATGGCAACACTTCCAATTTCAATTTTTACAATTATTTAAACGTAATTTAAAACACCTTTAGTCTTTCCAATTTTTTTTTTTTTTTTTTTTAACGTTTATGTTTTCCCCAATTTGAGGTGCTGGTGAGGCGTAAACGGAGAAACGAATTTACAAAAGAGTGTATAAAAAAAATGGAGCCATGAAAGAAAAAAAAATATAGAAGGAGAGGCACAGCAAAGACACAAAAAGGGCAACAAAATGGATAACGTACACGTTGTTCCAATTAGTTGTACAGAAGTAGAATTTTTTCCTTTTGCGCATTTTCTACCTCCGCAACGTTTGACAAGCAGAAAAAAGTACACACCGCCATGTGCACTGCGTTTTTTTTTTTTTTTTTTTTTTTTTTTTTTTTTTTGTCGCAAAATTAAGCGTTTCCCCTTTTTCCAATAAAGGAACAAAATTAATCTACTTTCATTTTGCTGATTAACCAACTGATGGTAAAGAGAACGTGATCAAAGTGAGCAAATGGTTTCCTTTTTTCCGCATATTTTCCACCTTTTTTTTTTTTTTTTTCCCAGCGTACGGTAGGCAATTTCCCACTATTTTGGGCAAATAAATTGGTTACTTTTCTTCTCCGCGCCCTTTCTATACCCGCAGGTGGGCACCCCGGGGGAACAGACACATGAGGCCCCCGAACGGATGACCTTTCCTGTGTAACAAGGGGAACACCCTAAACATGAGCGACTCACAAAAAATATTACTCGTCCCTTGGGGCCTTCATACAAGCGCATGCTGCTGACGCCCAAAAAATAGGTAAAACACAAAAAAAAACATAATCAACATTTGCACTTAAAGTGGATGGACATTTCTACATACGTCTACTTTATACCAACTCGTGGCCTCGCAACCGCAGCGATCTCTTTATGTTTGCTGTTGGAGAAGACGCGTAATTGAACAAAAAAAAAAAAAAAATGATAAATAAAACGGCGTACATTCATTCCGTTCATCACCCTTTATTGCATGTGCGAACTGTGGAATGTGCCTCCTCTCCATGAAATGCGACAAAAAAAAAAAAAAAAAAAAAAAAAACAACATCCACATGTGCGTCACGCCCAATGTGGTCACCCTAACCCGCAAAGCTGTACCAACTCATCGTAGGGATAAAATTTATGTCTGCGTAAAACTTCCGCCTCCTCCTTGGCTATAATATCCTTGATAAGAGGCTTCAAATGCTTTATGTCCCGCTTCATGTCCTGGAGCTTTTCTTTTTTGAATTTCATCTTCTCGATTCCTTTGAGGTGCCTCTGCCTTATGGACTTGTTGATGATCATTTTTTCTTTTTTCCGGATCAAATGGTACACGGTTCCTCTTTTGCTGTTATGTCTGCATAAAGGGGGTAGAGTTATGGAATGTCTAAAATGGCTGAACACATGTACAAACACACATGTGCCGTGTCATTTTTGGGCACACTTGACGTTGTGAGAAAAAAGCGCGAGGGTGGTGGTGCATTCATAAAATCCCTTCGTTCCACCTCAACATATAATAACGTACCTGGAGAGCCTCCCAATCCTATGTGTTAACACGTTGTAGTGATTCGGCATGTCGTAGTTCACCACGTAGTTTACATTCACAGTGTCGAGTCCTCTAGAAATGGAGTCCGTGCATATCAGGATGTGCAATTTCTGTGTTAGAAAATCGTTTAATATTTTTTTCTTCCTCTTGTTGGATAAATTCCGGGTGTACTCCTTTATCCCGTAGCTGTCTTCGTTGGTGTAGCTGAAGTACACGGTCAGGAACCGGTAGAGCAAGTGCGCCGACTCCTCGCTGTTGCAAAAGATCAGCATGCTCAGGTTGTCTGCAGGGTAAAATGGAAGTGACAATAGAAGTAAAAATGGAAGCAGGCGTCGATATGAAAATGGAGAAAGGTGCCTTCACGGGGCGGGGCCGCCACATGGCACTCCAGAAAAAAAAAAAAAAAAAAGGCCCCTTGTCCACCCCCCAAGGATTCAACTCACCCTTTGTGGGTATATCCATGATCAATCGGAGGACTACATAAACCTTGCTGTATTTCCCCTTGATTCTTAAATAAAACTCCTCATTTCTCTTATAATTAACAATGTAATAAAAAAAAATGGGTCTGTACAGATTCAGAGACATGAGATTATCCGACACTTTACACAAAGTCGCGGAGACGAAAATTTTCTGCAGGAAATTCTTTGGTTTGTACAAATTACGAGTTGCCATTTGATACTTCTCCACAATGTCTGATAGCGAGTTCACTAAACTGTTAATGTTGGATTTACTAAAGGACATAATTTTATCCACTTCGTCAATAACTAAAAATTTCAAATCTTTAAAAAGTTCCTCATTGCTGTAGAAGAGGGTTTCAAATTTGTTCGTCGTTGTCACGAGAATGTTCGTGTCCTTAAATGTGTCCCTACTATCCATCAGCTCATCGAAATAAATGTTCATTTGGAACATGTTGGTATTTATCCCCTGACATAGTAGGTTGCTAACTTCGAACTTATTCAGCACGCCCAAAATTTGAGTTACCAACTCTTCTGTGGCTGTTAATATAAGACAAAAAAGTTTTCCATTCTGGTCTTTTTTATATAAAAAATAATCCAGTATGGTTATAATATAGCACAATGTTTTCCCCAACCCTGTTGGCACTTCAATGTATATGTCTCCATTGAGAAGCGAATTGGATCCATTCTTGCTCAACAAGGAATAATTCAATACACAACTTTGACAAGGAAGGAATGTTTTGAAGTGAAACTTATTAATCAGGGCGTTTATTATGAATTCATTTATTGGGGTGTTCCTCACCTCATTCCACTTTTCAATTTCAACTTCTTCGTCCTCTATTTTGATTATTCTGCAGTTGGAGCTTAGACTTGAGTGCACCTCGTGCACCTTCTTTTGGTGGGCCCTTGCCACTCCACCATGAATTCCCCTTGCAACCCCACCTGTACCACCCACCGTAGTACCATCGCCTGGTTGTATACCCTCTTCTCCAATAAGCTCATCAAAGTTAAAAAAATCGTCACTTACATTTTCAACAAGCGTTTTTACTTGATTTATGTATAAGCTGCTTTGCATCTTTTCCTATAACTGGTCTGTTTTCTACTATAAAGGGGGAGGGAAAAACCGACCTGCATAGCTAAAAACCTGTAATTGTTAACTACTACTTGGCAAATCCTGACTTCATATTTGTGCCATCCAGGGAGCAGATATTTATTCTCAAGATTAGCCAATTCTATGGAAAGTTTTTTCGCCTCTTCGCTGCAGTGTTCCCAAGTTGTATTTTATATGGTTGCTGCATTTTGCCTTTTTTTTTTTTTTTTTTTTTTTTTTTTTTTTTTTTTTTGTTCCCGGCGCACTTTTTTTGGCTACCTGGAAAAATGAAAAAATGCAAGTCGTTCAGCTTCGCATGTTCTTTTTCAGCAAAGCACTAAAGTTTTTTTAAAAATAAAATAAGCCGTTTTGCTTATTCCCGAAGTTGATGTTGCTGCGAGCGGCAATTTACTTTTTACCCATTTTTCACGAACCGATGTATATTTTCCCAGAACAGCACAGGGCTTTGGGAAAAAAAAAAAAAAAAAAAAAAAGAGGAAATGGAACCGGAACAGGAAGAAAGTTGGGAAGCCATATAATATCCGTTCATTAATTCCCACTGTTATTACTTGCCTTTTTCATGCCAGCTTTTATTTTCGCCAGAGTTGTCCCACTTGCTTAAAAATTAAACACATGCAACCCTGCTAACTGCATTTAGTATGGATCTGTCTGTGCACGTTGACGTGTATACAAACACCATGGGTGTTGTTCCCACGGACGGCGCTCTTTTCTGAGCAATCGAATAATAAGTGGTTCGTCACCCAGGATCAGCTTTGCAATACTTCACAAAATGCTTAATTTATCATACGTAGGGGGGCGTAGTAGTTATGGGTTTAATAAGGACATACATACATGCGTACATGCATATAATAATGTGCACGTTTGTATGCATATTCACATGCGGATATAAAACGGGCGCTTACGCGCACACGCACATAAAGCAATGTGCTCACTTTTCTTCACAAATCGCGGGAATGTGTTAAAAAGGCGAAAATTAAGTAAACAAATTTTCCGATGGGGATTAAAAAGGGCGAAATTAAAACGAACATATGGTTGGGGTGCCTGCGGATGCATACATGCTCACAGCTTGGGCATCTGCGTATTGGCCGTGAGTCCGCTTATGGGCGGCGTTTCAAATGGGCACAAATCCGAACATAGAGAAACATACAAGGAACATAAGCAGCACCACAAAAGTGGCAATAGCTCGTGCCTCCTGGGGTACTTTCTAACAGCCACTTGGCGCGGTGGTCCGAAGGGGGACGGAGGGGGGAATCAAGGTGTCCTCTGAAGCTGCTGCATATGTCTGAATAAACTGCCTACTCGCACACCATTACGACTCATCAATCCTTTTGTGAACCAATTTGTGAATAAAACATAAAAAGTTCACGTAGCTGTATTCCTTGTCGGCTTTGTCTTCAATGCATAAAGATATGAGGTGTTCCTCCTCCTTGGATCTACAAATGGGTGTGCAGGTTGCAATTACGTGCACGTTGTAATTTTGTACACACGGATATGCGTATCCTTTCTGGGGAGCGATGTGGTGGTCTCCCATTCCATGCTAAGTATCATCTCACCACACGAGAAGCAGTTTCTTTCCTCGAAGTTGCTCCATGCCGCTTATCTCATGTCGACTCGAACTTACTTTGGGGCAACAATAACCAGGGGGACATACTTGTTGAAGTGGTGAATCCTCGTCAGGTTCTTAATAATACGCTGCACTTTTTCTGTAAATGGGAAACAAAAACAAATAAATAAATAAAATGAAATAAAGATAAAGCAAAACGTAGCATAGAATAAGATAACATAACAGAGAAAAAGGCAACACGCGCATAAATGAAGTCCTCCGTCTTGCATTTCCTCCCGTGCGCGGTGCACCAATTTTGTCGCGCTCTTCACATTTTAACACTTACGTGCGTTGTGGGTATCCGTCAGGTTCAGTTCATGCGCGTTGTTCTCCGTTGGGGTGTCTGCAAGAACCTTCAAAAGGGGGAAATAAAAAAAATACACAATGGTGAGTTGAAGGTGTGGCGACGCGAGCTAGGAGTTAAAGTTACGTCCTAGGTAGGTGCACACTTGTGCTTAACGGCGCGAAGAAAAGCGGCTTGTATAATGCCATACACAAGGCCACCCGCTTCGGTTCTCACCTCTTGGACGAAATTTGCGTCAGAGTGAAACCCAAAGTAAAGGTAAAAGTGGGTGCACGCATCAAGCAGGTAAATCCCATTCGAGTAAATCTTCTCCGCACTGGATGGTATCGTTTTAGGGATAAACAGGTCGTCGTCCACATCCATCGAATCTATCTCGTTTGTTCTGCCCTTTATGTGAATTACATAAGTGACTGGGTATACGTACAAGAGGGCAGATATGATTGGCATGGACAAAAGCTTTATCAAACTGTACACCTTGAGGTCATGCAAGATATCCTTCTTCGTGACATGGTGTTTTAGAAGAGAGGAGGTAAAGAGAGGAAGCAATTTTAGCGTGTCCGGGAGGATCAGCTGGCCCGAATGAGCGGACGAGGCACACTAAAGGGGTGGAGAAGAGGAAAAGTGACATGGGGTGAAGGGCATGACAAAACGTGGCGAGCACAAGCACGATGACCCTATTGACTACCGCGCATAGTGACCTCCACACGGCAACTCGACTCAAACTTACATTCATGCGGTAGGAAAACAAAATGGCCGCCAAACTATCGATGATAATCTTGGAGTAATTATCATTGTGAAGGATGTTAGTGCAGAGCTGCTTAATGAGGATGTTCATCAAGGCCTCTGCGTCGGTGTACCTAAAGAGTGTACTTAGGGATGAGGTCAAATTCATGTGCGTAGTGTGCAGACGCACAAATCGATCCCCATACAAGTTGGTATACATACAAGCACATTGGAAATAAATTTGTTTTTTGTTCTCTGATATGTCTGAGTAGTTCAATAAAAAGGCAAATGTCTGGTCATGACGAATCTTAGGGATCTTAATCGTGTCCACACTGATGATGGAATTAAAATTGTTGTTACAACAGAACAATTTTTTCACCGACATGTGATGTGAGTATCTTAATTTCAACTCACAACAGTAGGCAATGTCTTCAGACGTTAGCGTATCCATTATGCTCATGTATAACTCCTTGTAATCCTTCTGCCATATAAAATTGTCTACAAACAGTATCTTCCCCCCGGTATTTTGCGCAACATATTGTAGGGATGGAACACACACACGCACATTATTTGATGAAATAATAAAAATGTCTACACTGATGTTGTATGCGTATAAGTCCAGAAGTAGGGAATCGTAAAATATTTTTTGCTTTACCTCCATAAAATTTTCTTGCAAATCTTTTTTCAGTTCTTTAATGGAGCCTAATCCACAATTTGGGGTCGTGGTGTAGAACATGCATATGCTACCCACCCCGTTTCGCTCCTTCAACATGTCCATGGCAACTTTGAGTGCGCTGTTTCCACAAGACCCGTATGACTGCATCGTCGTGCTCACAGATTTTATCGTATCTATGAGGGTGTTAATTTTGTCTATCTCCTCGACACACCCGAAGAAGAGATCCTCCAGAGGCAGGGGCAGAAACGGGTCATCCACATCACTCATCACGATCACCTGGTGGTTCCCACTCTTGTTCTTCCCCCTTGTACCCTCGTTACCTCCCCCTTCCTTCTCGACACTCTTGCAGTGGTAAAAATATATCGAACTGTTGAACGTAATGATGGCGATCTTCGTCCGTGGGCACTTCACATTCTGCACGGCGTACCTAATGCCCTCCAAAATGGTATACGTTATGTTATTATAAATGGCGTTGTACGAGCACTCCACGACGAATACAAAGTAAGGAGGCAACATATTTTTTACTTGTGGGTATTTCGCCAACAAGGAATTTCTTCTCATTTTCGCCGCATCAGGTTCACCACTCTTTTCGCATAACAAATTTTTCATATCATTCAAGGTAAGGTTGGCATTGTCTTTCACATTGTCGAAATTTTGCACACCCTGGTCAATTCCAAACGGTTGATTCCCTGTACTACTACCCATTCGGTTATTAACCATACAATCATTACTGTAACCGCTTTGATTGTCATTTGTGTTGTAGCCTCCTATCCCTCCATAATTGGTATAACCACCACCTGAAAAAAAGTTTCCATCCCCCGAGTCACCAAAGGCACTGCCAGTACTTGGTTTATTACCCCCTTTGGAATCATTCGCAACTAGCGTACTAGAAATATGCTTCGTCAGAGACATAATCTTATTCGTAATCATGGACGCTGTTTGGTTAATATTTTTATTCAAGTAGGTATAAGTCAATTTAAACTTATTAATATTATTGTAATAAATCGGGGGAATAATAATATCCACACTACCCTTTAGCAAAGGGGAAAGACAATGCCCATTCTGATTATTCTCCTTATGTCCTATCTTCTCATTATACTGGTATATATCAAATAGTACATTTTCATTAATCACAAAATCTGTATCACAAAAGACACATTGTACTGTGCTAGAAATATCTTCCAATATTGTTGCATGCAAATAGCTTAAACATTTGGGGCATCTCAAAATTTCTATATTTTCTTCTTTATCATTAATTATATCCTTCATATCGACCTTGTCTACTTTCTCCCCTTCATTTAGACATGCAAAAGGATTTACAATAATTCCAAAGGGAATCTGAGACAACTTTAAGGTCTCTGAAAATAACGGAATCTGATACAACGTGCTCTTCATAAATCTCGGATCTGCTTTCCCCGTGTCAATCGATATGTACGGTTGATAACAGGACGGGGGGGAAATATACTTGCACGTTTCAAACACTTTTAAATTTCTTTTTTTTTTTCTTTCTTGCCAATTTATTATAGGCCTTGGAATTTTGTTCATGTCTATACGGTTGATCGTTTTTTTTATCAGCGTGTATACTTCTTCTCCTTTATCTGTTACCTCATGTTCATTTTCAGTTGAATTTTCGGAACTTGAACTTTCCACTGATTCTTCATCTGACCGTTCATACTTCTGTACGTTCGTCCCCCTCTCCTGCTGATCTTCACGTTTTTCACTCCCCCCTGGGTCAGCAGTTGCGCCGGGACTTCCTCCATATGGCGCATTCCCGAATGGTCTACTGCCAAACGCGTTGCCAGCATCATTTGCCTGGGCGCCATAAAAGTTCTGCCCACTGGGCTGGTTAGAGGCGCGATGCTGGTACGCTGTTTGGTACACACTGTGCTGTTCCTTTGCGCTGCTCTGCGGAGGATTACTATAAGGGGTATTACTATAAGGGGGATTACTGTATGGAGGATTGCTATACGGAGGGTTACTATACGGGGTATTACTATATGGAGGGTTGCTATACTGGGCGTTCGTGTACCCAGAATTGCTGTACCCAGCGTTTCTATACGCATCACTACTATATGTAGCATTACTGTGCGACCCGACGCCCCACACGCCGTGCGCGTCCTGCTGCACCTGACTAATATGTGCACTATCCGCCTGCCTGCCCAAGCTGTTGGAAGGTGCACCAGCAGACCCTACATTGGGGGAGCCGCCGTAACCGCTCCCATATATTTGATACGTGCTCTCATTGGCCCTATCAACACTAGTTTTATCATGTGGGGTACCTTTCGGCATATTGATTTGCACAGCATTGCGTTGTACATGACTTGGGTTACTCAGGGAATTATTCGCCCCATGCAAATTGTTCTCACTTCCAGCGTAGCTAGCTAGGTTTGATCCCCTGTGAATGGCGTACCCCGATTGTGCTGCCCTGGATGCACTTAGCTGCTGAGCATTCTGTGCAGACAGCGACTGGTCATTACTACACGAAACGGTAACCGCATTATTTTCATTTGCAGGAGAACTTGTGCTGCTCGCCTCCTTAATCTGCCACGTACTCCTCTTGTATACATCCCCATCGTTCGGCTGACTATGGACGTACACCTCATTCTGAACGTCATTACTAATGCTGCTTCTGTTGTGCTCTCCACTGGGGGGGGTGTAATTATACATAACATTGACTTGACAATTTTTACTGCTGTCCATTATTTGGTGATTCCTATTGGTATTTCCTGAATGATGGTACTGCGCGTGGGGGGGATTATCCTCCGCCCTGTGACTTGGTTCATCTAATGTGGGGTGACTGCTACTCGTGGTGACTTGACTCCCGTTTGCGCCTACTAACACATTTGATGTCTCCCCCTGTCCTAAGAATACAGATTTATCGTTAACATTCTGACCACGGGGTTGAAGAGAAGGGTGGGACGGGTGACAACTCCCTCCCTTTACGCCACTGTCACCGGTATTATTCCTTCCTGAGCGCACTTCTGCAGTTGCTTCTTCCCCTACGGGATTACTCATATTGTTATGTAACTATCTAACGTATAAAATTTTGGCGCTTTTTATATTTAATCACTTTTTCTTCACTTTGTTAATTTCCATCATTTGTGATTCGCTTATTAGTGAGTTGATCCGTTCTGAGGAGTGCTTCTCCCTGGGGTAGCCTCTAAATGGTGATACTCCAAGTGCGGTGTTATTTTCGTTGCCTACTCTACCGTCCTTGATATGTTTTTCCCGTGTGCTGGCTATACCCTTCAAGTCAGATATACTACAACTGAGCGGTCTTTTAAAGAATAACTGTCGTTGATGCACCAAACGGGGGACCATCAAACAAAAAAAAGAAAAAGGGACACACAAATATATACGTGCCTGTTTGTAGGCGCGATTGCTGAATTAAAACTTCTGTTGCTGAAGCGACTCGTTAAAGCAACATGTTGCAAGTTGGGCGCTTCCCAGCGTTGGGCACTTGACAAAAGTGCTACGTTGGCCGGATCCTACCCCTTAGCTGTGTCATCACATGCGAAGAGGCCACACCCAGGTAGCCCTCTCCAATGCATCCGTTAAGCTGCTTATTGTATTTTATTTATTTATTTTTTTTTTTCTCTCTTCTTCATTCCTTGGCTTTTAAAAATAGTACCCGTATCATTACTAATAAATATTCCTAAAGTGTTGCTAAAAAAAAAAAAATTCAATCAGTGGAAAATTATTACGTAATGGATATACCAAATGATTTGACCAATCAGGCGGATCGATCATCTGTGGTATTTTACGGAAGAAGAACTGTTCACGATATTTTGCTGCTCACGTTTATATACATAATATAAGTGCATATATACACTTTATACGCGCTTCTGTGCGCTGTGTATCTTGCTCTTTTTTTTTTTTTTTTTTTTTTTTTTTTTTTTTTTTTTTTTTGGGCAATACTGGGCTGTGGAATTATGTACACGATCGCCTGGTTGACCCGTGTCAAGATAGGCACCATCCACTGTGGGGTGGCTGCGACGTAAACATATGCTCGCGGCCTTTCTTCACCTATACGCAGGGTTGTCCATATTATACATGCGCATAAACGTATGCCCGTGCAAGTTCGGCATAACATATATGTGCCATATGTACATATTAATATACCGCCTTAAACAGCAACATTATGAGATAACGTTTCCTTTGTTTACCCAAATGGTTTACAATAATTTTCCAAAGTCAAAGCAAACGAAGAGATATCGTGCCTTGCCTCAACAAAAATAGCCATTTATCCTAACCTTTGTCATCATACGCAGGGCGCCTTCTTATGCGAATAACCTTTTTTCTTTTTTTTTGTTTTTTTTTTTTTACATTCGCTATGTCATTATAGTTGGGAAATAATCATCCTTTTCAGGCGTAATAACAAAGGAGAAGTGGTGAAAAAAATAAAAATAAAATAAATAAAACGTTAAAACAAGGGATAATAATATGAATAAGGCAGGAATGAATAAAAATATACGCGAGAAAAAATATAACGCAAATGGGATGTATTCTCTCATATGCCTATAAAAAGTGTCACATGCTGAATGGGAAAAAATGCTCCTTAAGTTTTGTACCTCTGAGGGTGATTACTGTGATTATTTTGCTATAGCTACTGTTTTTTTTATTTATTTTTTACCCTATCGGCTGATCATTTAGCTCCTCAATGAAGGCGCCATTTTACGGCGTGTGCCGAAGAGGCTTCGTCCAAAAACAGAAACGACAAAAATTGCCACAAAAATGCTAAATCCTCAAATGTGTAAAAGGCTTCTGTTCACATTAGCGGGAAAGGTGGAAAACAGCGCCAACAAGTTTTGATTCGTCAGTCCTGTTTCACCACGCCATTTGTTGAGCCACCTACAAGTCTGTTCACATGCACAGACCCCCCTCTACATAAACCGATCGAATACACAGCCCCCATACGCAGCCCTGGGCTGCAACGAATTGCGACCTCTACATTATTCATGGGGACGTGGCACAACTGTCAACAATCACCATAAAGGTACCCCCTGCCAATTGTGCCATTACACAAAATGTCGTAGCGGTTTTTAGGAAAAAGTTCTCCATATGTGGAATAGACAAGTGGAATAAATTGAAAAAAAAAAAAAAAAAAAAATTAATTGTGAAGGTTCTTCCACCAAATGGTGGACACAGAAAAACAGTTATTGTGTAACTTGCAAAAAGGGAAACCTGTTCATTACACCAATATGGTGGTACAAAAAATAGCTAGCTCTACATTTGAACATCCAGGGGCGTATACAGCCATTCCCGTGGTGATGTCATTTGCCCAATGCCCCGACCGGCAAGTTAACGGCATCGACGTCAGTATTTAACAATTCACTGGCATATGTGTCCTCCACTTTTACTTTAATACAAATGCCCTTCAAACATCACTCCCTTAAAATTTTTTCATTTCGTGCCAGCTAAAATGGGGCAATCGTCCAGTGTTTCAATAATAAGGGCGTTCCCTTTTAAACAGGTGGTATCACTCACGCAATGATGAAGAAGCGTGATTACTTGTGTGCCTAAGCGATTTGTGAAAAAGGTTGAGCCATCTTCCTGTGCAGACGCTTGCTGGAAGCCGGCAATCTTCACAAAATGCCACACCACAATGCCAAAAACAGGAGGGCGGGGGGGGGGGGTCGAAAACTTTGCAAAAAACGTGTGCACATTTTTGTGAATCCCTCCAGTGAGGATCCCGGACAAAATCAGCCGGACCGCGCCTTTGGCAAATTCCCCATCAACGTTAAAAAAGCGGAAAAAGAAAAAAAAAAAAAAATACACACATATACCCATATTAGCGGAAAAAAAAAATTCACAAGTATATGTCCGCTCAAGACTAAAACAAATCGAAAAACGAATAGCAAAAAAAAAAAGAGGTGCAATATTCTGACTAAAGAAATGCCATTCCGCATGTGCAGCATTTGTGGCGCGAAAAAATAACGACGTAGAATCACGCAACATGGAAAAAAAAAAAAATGAACAAAAAAAAAAAATAAAACGTAAAAAACAAAATAACGAATCAGAACTGTTCTGTTAACTTAAAAGCAACAAAGAAAAAAAAAAAAAAAGAAAAAAAAAACATAAACAGAAACGTCTATGCCACCCTCAAATGCGTAACTTTTTTGTGGCACTTCTTGTCAGTCATGTTGATGTATTTGCAAAATATTTTGAAGTGATAGACTACTAAAATGAATTGCGCCCTTCATGGGAGTGAGTCGTCGTGCAGGATAGCTATGCACACATAAACATCCCCAGGAACACATGTGTATACATGTGTCTGAACGCAACTTATACCCACCTATTCATCACCTTCCAGGAGACACCCCTTCAGATATGCAAACCCACGGAAAGACCGCCTAAACAAAGATAAGAACAAAGTAGCAAACGACTACAAACCCTCAAATGGAAAAAGAAGAAGCCAATGTTCGGAACAAAGTTCATCTTTAACATTTTTAAAAATAAATTTAACAGCATATCGAAGAAATGCGTAAACTATGTCATAAAGAGTTACAAAAGGACGTGCCCGCACATAAGCGACTTCGAGCCGTTCGGTACGTACGGAATTGCCTCTGATGGAAAATGAGAGCACTTCGCCAAAGTGGGGGGACATTTCAAATGGTGCGCATGGGAAAATGGAGATGAGACATCTCCATATGGCTACACCGCCGCAGCAGCAACGTCAGGACGTGTGCGCACCCCCCGCTACCTCCTTACCAACTGATTTCCCCCTCCCTTTTGCAGCCTCCATGTACTACTTCAGCGGGCTGCACAACTACCGGACCTTCTACTTGCTCGTAAAAGTCAACGAAATATTTAACATAAATAAGTACAAACATATATACATCATATTCAGCACGGACAAGTATGACTTCCAAACGGATGGTAATGGAACTGCTTCGTAGATAAGCTGCCAGGCGACAAAGCCTCTTCACCAATGAGCAGCCTCCCCTCCGCATTCCACTGGTTAATCACCCCCCGTGCTTAACCCCCTTCCCTTGCTTAACTTCCCTACCTCACAGAAATTCCGACGAACAAGAAAAACAGGATACATATCGACCAACGCGTAGATATAAAAATCAGGCAGTGCGATGAAACGCTCAAAGTCGACCTCTTCACAACCAAATTAACGAAGAAGGTCCACATTGGACAAATTAAAATAGACATAAATTCGAGCGTCATCAACAAGTCCTTTCCCAAGAACGAATGGTCAGCACAGGCATAGCTGTGGCATATAGCTTCTGCACTCTGACGCCTCTTCGGATATATGTGCATACCCGCGTGTACCCTTTTAGAGGTGTGATCACCCCACCCCCATAGAAAAAAAAAAAAAAAACCTTCCCCTTGCACACCACTCTGTGCAGGTTCGTGTGCTTCAAGGATGGACAAGAAATATGCAAAGTACAAATGTCTTTTTACAAAAGTGAGTCCTGCGCGCAGATATGTGAGCACAGTAGCACATATGCATGCGTTGCAATGGCCACGCAAATTAACCCTTTATGTACTTACCGTTAGCCATTCCCCCCCATTTCCCCTCACCGCAGTTCAGAAATATGCGTGCCCCAACGAGTGCATGTTCATACAGGATGGACTCGAGCTATGGAAAAACAAATCGAAGAGCGTCAAAAAAAAAAATATTAACTTACAAAATATTCACAAGGAGTTCTATGACGATGATAAAAATTTGTCCCTAATAGATGTGGACACGGTACACACAGGAGGGACACAAGGGGGGGAGAGAACAGAAAGGACAAAATGAAAACGACGGGGATAAGTGTAAATGGGACTTTGACCCACCGATTCGCTCCCAAAAGAAAAAACATGTTCACTTGTTCGCTTTATCATTTTATTTCTTCTCCTTCTTGTAGGACCTAAATGATATAAGTCTGATGCAAAAACTGACGTTGATGAGCTTCGTGCTAGAGCAGGAAATCTGCGTGTTCGATTTTTACGCATACGTGCCCAAGTACATGTCGGCCAAGGAGATAATGGGTGCGTCGAACTGTCCATGTGCACATATCGGTTTTTCCGAACCAGCTGCTGCTGACTCACCTTTTGCTGAACCGTTTTGTGCACCCCGCTACGCCCCAATTGGCTTATCTCCTCACACTGCAATGTCGTTTTTCCCCCCGCCCATACCCTTCAGGGGAATGGTTCCTGTGCTTCCTCTGCTTCAAGGACGGAAAAGAACAAGATGTGATTAACATTGAGACCATAATCGAGCGCAACATTCACCGAGACATAAACATCCCCATGCTAAATATTTTGCGAATCGTAGTGAACAGCAAAAATAAAACCAACGCCAATATTATGTACACGTATGAAAATGAAAAGTACAATTTGAGCATTCACTCGGAGCATAATCTATCCTACATCATCGATGCTATAACGATTTTTACGAACGAGGTAGGGTTGTGCGGGAGCGTACTAATGGCGCATTCATTGGGGATGAGTATAGTCCCCACCGCGATGCGCAAATGAGATTAAAGAAAAAAAAAAAAAAAAGCACACTGACACACGAACATGTTTGCGCCCCCTTCAGTTAAAAGTCCTCAAAGCATCTTGCGGAGAAAAACTGGAACTTCGAAAAAATATGATAATTCAAGAAATCAATATGAAAAAGCTGATGGGTAAGCCGAACGGAAATGTGCGAACGACACCACAGTAACGGTGCAAAGTTGTAGCATGCACGTACGCACACATCACTGCATGTCTATTCCCCCCTCACCCACCCACACATACATAAATGCACACACGAATACACCTGTGTAGGAAAAAGACGGCTGGTATCCCCCAGGTTCAGACGTAGTATACCCAAAAGTGCCCACAAAATGATGAGCGAAATGTATGTACAGAAAGACAGCGTTGAAACAACAGCAGGGGAAAGGGACGAATATATGAATGACGTGTTGGAGGAAGAGACGCTCAGCGGTGCGCCAGTAGGACCGAGTGAACATGAGAAAGGGGCATACCCGGAGGAAGCAGCAAATGGGGAGAACGCTGCATACGGGGTGAATGCGACAGACGGAGAGAAAGACCCTTCTCCAAATAATACACTACCGGACGGGTACTCACCATTGATGGAACACGGAAGAGGAGGGAACCCCCCAAATGGAACTGTCATGGAGGCGGGACAAGACAATTAAAACCAAAGAACCACATGCCTTAAAAATGCGCATACTGGACGATAGACCTCCACTCTGTTAGGAAATGAAAAATATATGGCTGGCCATAAATTCAACTGCTCCACATTTGATGTGAGATCGAAATAGTTTTCACCTGAACGGTATCAGTGCAATCCACACTATGTGTCGCTCCTATGCAGGTGTGGGCTGACTGCGTATATTTACTCTGTGCGATCTGCAAGCCGATTGAATATGGGCTCCCAAGAAGGATCCTCTCGGTCTGCTCTTGTGATATCACTCGTGATTGTCTTTTCAGTTGTCTTAGCTTTTTTTTTTTTTTGTTGTTTTTTCAGTTTTCAACGCATCACTCTCGACATATTTTGCCACCTTTACCTCCTTCGCAACTTACGTCACGAATTCGTTCTTCTACGCATGCACAATATAGGCGCACGCATAGGTGGTGACAGGTGTGTAATCATTTCATGCAATGTGTTGTAAGTGCCCGACGCAGAATGGGCGCGCAGGGACACACTTTACCCCCAGGGGTGATAAAAAAAAAAAAATAATAAAATAAAATAAGTTACTCATCTCAAGACAATCTCATCTCAAAATGCACGTATGCGATAAAACGTACACATGTCGCAATTGTGCAATATCCCTTACTCCACAAGCAACTCTGCAGAGGAGAATGCAAGTAGTGGGCATCAGTGGTCGCTCCATTCAAATTCTCAAAGGGGGGTAAGTGCACATGAAAAGAGCAATATGCGTGGTTAAGAAAAGGAAAAAAAAAAAAATAATCTCTTGTGATACCTGCACTTTTGCATGCGCAATGGGTTTTTCCCCATCATATTGTAAACCATATGTGTAGGACACATGTTTTTTTTCGCGTCGCAAATATCCGTGCAAGGTGTTGATCGTCCTGGTGTGGTATTTTTTTCCTTTGCATTGCATGAAAAATGTGAAGGGACTTTTTCGCTCATCAGAGCTCACTCGTTTTCGTCTCCCTATTTCGTTGCCATGGTTAGGTTAATGCGTCTAATCCTCTTGGCTCATTTCTTTTGAAGCTTCTCTCTCATTTTTTATCTCATCCTTTTTTTCCTGTTTGCCTTGGATTTTCTACTCCTCTGTGGTTCATCATTTTCTGGGTTTTTCGCTTCGCTCTTCTCGTTCTCTCCCCCTTTTTCTTCATCCCCCCTATCTGATTCTTTCCCCTCACCTATTTCTCCTATCATTGCGTCAGTGTCCTCCTTATCTGTGCTCCATCCTTTCTTTGAATCCTGCATCTGTTTACTTCGTCCTTCAACTTGATCAATCTTATCTCTACCACGTCGTTCTTCCTCTTGTTCCTCCCTGAGTCCTTCCAGATGTTCCTTTTTCTCCCCACAGTGTTGTCCCCTGTGCTCATCACCTGCTGCAGAACTTGAATCGCTGCCTTGTTTGTCATCTTGGGCACTATGCGTCCGTTTCGTTTGCTCTTGTCGCTTCACGTCTCTCCGTGCTCGTCCTTTTTCTTGTGCGGCTTGTTCACCAGAGGGTGAATTCTTAGCACCGCGCCTTCGTCTTTTCATCAATACTTGTTCGTCGGCTGCAGATAAAAAGCCTCTTTCGTCGTTCTCCTTCTCCCAATTCGCGTCATCCCCAGAACTGATTATCTCTGTATCGATGGAATTATGCGTTTTATTTTTCTGCTCTTTGGTGAATCCATGGTATATGAAGTCGCGCACGTCTTCCTCTTCCTTCCAATCCTTCTCTTCTTTCGAGTCTATTTTGTCCTTGCCGTCTGTTACATCCCTTCCTTCTTTCTCAACCTTCCCATCGTTCTGATTCTCCCATTTTATCCATTCCTCCATGTCCTCCTCATCCTGCTCTTCATCGACCAGCTCGTCTTTGCCCCTTTCACTTATATCCCTGTCCGCCTCTAAAGAATCCACCTCTCCTTCAGACTCGACGTTCTTCTTCGCGTCCATCCCTTGCGGATCCCTATGCACAGGAGGGAAGAACTCCTTAAACAGTTTGAGCGATTTATTCACCTTCTCATGTTTGTTCGCTTTCTCTTCATACACGATTGAGATCACCTTAGGGTAGGACAGCTCCCGATCCCCTCCGTCTGACTTTTCCTTTCCGCTGTCCTTTGGAAGCACTAACTTAACATTTTTGGACTTGTTAATCACAGTAATGGTTTGAGATTCTCCAGCATGCACGATACTGTCCTGCAGATCCACACTTCTGTCCAGGGGCTTATGTTTGGAGGGTGCCTTTTCATTCATGAATTTGTCGTTCAAGTCGAAAAGAAAGTCTCCATTGACATCGCCCTCCAGGTTGCTATACGGATCGGTATGCGCTTCGGTATACATATCATCGTAGGAATCTTCATACGCATCTGTGTAAGCGTCATTGTACAGATCGTCATGCTCTTGCATGTCAGGTTCCCCATCCAAGTCGGTGTAGGAATCTCCACCACAGTAACCTTCGCCCCCGTAGCCATCCTCCAGGGGCAGATCCTCAACATACTCACCCTTGAATTTGTCACCGAAGCGCTTGATGACAGCATAACTTAGGCTCGACACCATCCTATTATTTTTGAACAGAATGCCGTTTATGCCTTCCTTGTTGTTGAAGTCAAAATTGGACATGGGGTTCTTCCTTGTCTTGTCCGCCATGTAATCGGAGGAAACAGCCCCTTTATTTTCCCCACCGTGTGCACTTCCTGCGTTGTTATCGCGCCTTTCATTACCACTAATCGTGTCGTAGTTTTTTCCCCTGTGTGAGGTGTTTTTTTCTGGGGACAGATTCATATCTTCGTTAGCAGCGCCCATCTTCTGGTCCATTCCCTGGACAAAATTTCCCCTTGCATCTGACTGCGCTAGGTGACCACCTTTCGTATTCAACTGCGCGTGGTGGCTGGGTTGTACTCTTATGATTATCTTCCCAGAGTACAGGATGCTATTCTCTTTATAGTAGTTGCAGTAGCATGCAATAGTTCTACTATCACTGTACTTGTCCAATTTTATATACCTCGTATGGTTCCCTTGGATCTGTCCAGCTAACATATTCGAACTCGGGAAGGGGAAACTGCTGGGTAAAATATCCACCAGATTCTGATTTTCATTTACATGCTCAAAACAGTATGGAGGATCAGTTCTAAAAAAGTCTCCTTCGGATACACCTGGGCTGATCAAATTGTTTTCTTTCTCCCCACCAGTAAAATTATAATCGTCTACATGGTGCTTTTCCCTTGTGCCTTTTATGTAAGGTGGTCCACATTGAAATGCTACAATTTCGTTCCACGCTTCTATCACACACTCGTTGTTGCTTTTATTTTTTTCATTCATGATTATCTTCTTCGTCAGGAATGACTCCCTCTGCGCATATTCCTTATAAAGTATGTTTCCTTCGTTCACTTGAAACGAACATCCTTTCGTCTTGTTTAAATTTTTTTTCAAATAAATTTTCACGGGGTATGTCTCAGTTCGATTAATGTGACCCTCGGAATCCAGCATTCCATTAAACGACTCACTTCTAAAAATGCAATGCAGAAACATATCTTCTGGGATAAAAGAAGGCACCATTAATCTCATATACCCATCATCATTTTTAAAGCCTGTTAATGCACCCGGGATTATTTCTTCTATTTGCTTTATATGCCTATAGGAATATTCGTTTCCCTTTGCAGAGTTATACTTGGTGCTAAACCAGGTGGCGTAGCAATCCACGTAATCGCGGCTTCCTTTATCGGGTCGAACACCTCCTTGCTGCTTCATTTTAATTATGCTAAATGGGCTGGGATTGATAAAGTAGTAGCTTCCCTTCCTGTATATGTACGGGCTTTCGCTAAACAGATTCTTGTAGTTCGCAGGCCACTGAGTGTCTGCATAGTTGGGAGAAGCTGCCTGACTAGAGTAACCTCTATAATCCCCATAATTCCTGTAGGTAGACAACGTAGACGACTTCAGGTAATCGCCCCACTCACCGGAGCTACCCTTAATAAGACCCCTCTGCTTCTTCATCCTTCCATCAGCAAAATTATTCACCGATTGAGTCGTTTCACTCATACCATAGGGGTCATACTTGCCCTTATATGCTTCCTCTTCTTCATCGTCCTCCTGATATCCCACTTGGCTATTTTCTAGCCCATCCTTAGAGGACAAACCAGCACTTGATAAAAGTGCAGCATTTATATCATGTGTACTATTTCCGCCATTTATTTCATTCGTGTTTTCACCTCTATCTGATCCACCAAACTCTCCTTCTACTGCCTCATCAGATCCTTTGATGATTTTTTTTTGTTTGTGCACATCCGATAGAGCACTAGATTGTGTAGTAATCGATCCCTCATCATCACCTTTCGCATGTTTTGTATTTCCCTTATTTCTGCTTCCTCCATCTGACTCATCCACTCTTCCATCTGGTGATGAACCTTCCTGTGCCAGAACCCTAGGATGTGTAATTATCGGATATTCTCTATTGTTCTTTCCATCAGAATTCTCTGCGTGATTTCCATTTCCTCTACCTTCCACGTAATCATCTATCACTAAATCATAATCATCATCATCATCATCGTAATCTTCTCCTAGAAGCCTATGTTGTCTACAATTCTGAACATTTCCACTGTTATTTCCATCATTGCCACCCCCTGGATTTACAATTTGGCTATCATCATCACCACTTCCATCTAAATTATCCAATTTTTCAGTGGGCGATGAACCTTCTTGTACCAGAATCCTAAATCTCCTACCATTCAAACCACTTCCACTGTTATCTCCATTAGACTGACCTCCTGGATTTCCACTTCCTCCAATTCCATTTCCTCCACCTCCATTTGCTCCATTTCCACCTCCAATACCTGAACCAATGCATTCCCCCTGAAAATACAAATCATTATAGTCTATTATTGGGTCATCATCTATTAAGATCCTAAATCGTCTAATAAGCGGGGGACTTGCATCAGCAACACTGTCTCCAGGTTCCTCTCCATCTGCGTTGTAATTTCTATAACCCCGTGGTGAAACATCCTCAGATAAAAGTCTAAGGCTTCTACACTGGGAGCTATTGACACTATCATTTCCTCCATTATTTCCTTGTTCATTTCCTGTTCCTCCACTTCCTGTTCCTTTTCCTTGTGATGAACCTGGCACGACTTGGAGATTACCACCTTCTGATGAGTCTTCTTCTGCTAAACTTCTAAACCTACAGTTATAGTCGACATTTTCATTCTTCTTTTGTTCCTGCCTATCATCCTCAGCTCCTCCATGTCCCTTTGGGCCACGTCCGTCTACCTCTAAAAGATCGCCATCTGGCCTGGTATCTTCTGACAGAACCCTAAATTGCCTACTATTGGGATCATTGCCATCAGAAGTCTTTCCTTTAGATTGATCCCCTGTATTTCCAGCTCCTCCATGTCCCTTTGGGCCACGTCCGTCTACCTCTAAAAGATCGCC